GTTTTTTTCCAGTGCTTTAATTTTTCATATTTAGCTCTATCAATATCAGCACTACCACAGGTCACTCTAATCAAATAGCTCCATAACCTTGAGCAAATCACTAGCTCCTCATGCCTGTTCTCTCATGTTTAAAATAGAAGGGTTTAACACATTGATCCCCAAGGTTCCTTAATATTGATTGGAATATGGTCTCCTTTATATTCTAGATTCAATTATTAGGCAAATTAAACACAAACTCATCTGCCTGTCTTTAAGGTGCCCCAAATGAGGTATATATAGCAATTAATTAGGGGAGTAGAAACAAAATATTAAACTTTTAATTTATATAAGTTTTTAATTGAAATAGATGGGGGAAATACTTAGCTTTACTGATCCTTAATATTCTGCCTAACACTGGTGTCCTCATTTGGTCTCTGAGAGCAAGAGTGCCACAAAGCAGAGGCAACAGCGAGAAATTCTCTTTGTCCACTTTCAACATACAGAATGTTACTTGTGCATGGCGACTGGGATTTACAGATACTATCAAATGCTTACCCAACAGCCAAGAGACTTACGAGAATTTCTGCAAAGTGGTCTCAGATTAGAAATACCGATAATGCACACTTAAGTGAATGACTAAAAGATTCCATGGTCTACATGTTTTCTTTTCTTAGAATAAGTTGTCAATATCATTATAAAGTAAAACAACGACTATCAAATCAGAGCTGATAAGATGTAGCCCTCCCCATCTGAAATTATCAAGAAGTATTAGTAGTATTCACTATCCTTAATTCTGACTCTTTCCCTCAGTATACAATGGGCCTTGAAATATTTGCTGAGAACGATGGCACACAAAATTTAAGAACATATATCACATATATAATCAATTTGTTTTTACTGAGAGGTGTATAAGATCCACAAAATTTGAAGCTTTCTTTACGGGAAAATGAACGCTGCTGCTGCTGCTGGAGACACCATGACACCGTGTAAAAGCATAAGCACTGGAGCCCCACGGACCTACATCAGAATCATAGCTCTTGACACACAACCAGCTGTGCAGTCTGGAGTAAGCCTCTGAGGTGCAGATGTTTAATATACAAAGGTGTGAAATTAATGTCCATCTCATAGCGTTGTGGTGGGACTGAACAAGAACACTAGGCACATGTAGGTCTCAATAAATACTAATTTATTTTCTCTTACCCTTACTTTGCCAAAAAACAAGACACAAATTTGTGTAGTAAGTGAGGACAATTTAAGAACACAGTGTAAGATAATAATATTTGTACTATCTAAAGTTGCATTATTTTTGTTAGAGTACATTACAATACAATAATAGGGCCCACTACAGAATTTATCCATGTTAATTGACATTTAAGGACTGAATTAGCAACTCTTATTTAACTTACCACATTAAAATCTAAATTTTCTTCAACCCATGATTTTGCTTCTTCAAATTCATTTTTCATTTCCATAATAAAAAGTGTATCCAGGGCATCTACTATAGTTGCTCCTTTGATATTACCTGAAAATAGCAGAAAAATATTTGATAAAATACTTTGGCTAGATAAAATATATGTAAATTGACCACACCTAAGACAGGGAGAGGGTAATACTGGATTTATTAATAAGCAATAATATTAAACATAGTCTAAAATTCTTTCAATGAAAGTATAAAA